CACCTTCTCCTCTATTTTATCTTTTACATACATAATTGTATATTTATTCTATCACTTTGGGCATTGTTGTAGCAAAATTACTAATGAGTATCAAAGACTTTTAGGGTTTTTACAGTTTAAAATTAAACTTTTTGGTTGGCAAAGAAATGTGATTCATTCTGTTAATGTTCTTTTTCTCTCTTATTTTTATTAGCTCTTTGATAATTTCATACAATGCATTTTGATATTACTCATTCCATTCCCCTAACCCCTCCCTCCCATATCTATCCCTTCACTAACCACCTTGTTCCCCCACACACACCCTTTTCTTTTTTAGACATAACCAATGCAAATTTTGCCATCTATATATTCTTGGATGTGTGGCCTTCCACTGGAGTGTGGACCCCTTATCAGGGCTTACACTCTAAAAACTAACATCCCTCTCCTGTAGCAGTCAATTCTCATCGTGGGGGTTGGACTTGTATTATACTATTCACTCAAGACTTCTTTCATTTCCTGTAGTGTTCCTTGTTCCTTCTTGTCACTGGATCATGAAGTAGGCTGTGCTTTCTCCTGCCATAATTAGCTTTATTGACTCCAATAGAAGTGGTCCTTGTCTTTCTAGGAAGGTGACTTACAATGATATCTCAGAACACCTGGGCTTTGCCTCGTAGTATTATACCTCTTTATTTGATTGATGTCTGTCTCCCTCATTGGACTGTGAGCTCTAGTAGGATGAGCATAGTGTGTGTGTGTGTGTGTGTGTGTGTGTGTGTGTGTGTGTGTACTTTTGCCCTAGGTTCTAGAACTGTGCTCAGTTCAGAGTACGGAGCAGGACACTTCACCTTCAGCTATTTGGACCTCTTTAGAAGCAGGTAGGTGAACCAGGTGCTCACATTTGACCTGGAGTCTCGATCAGTGGGGAATACCCAAAGGCAAATCTCCACGGGATTAAAGAGCCAGGTTTAGGAGCAGGAAGACTCTTTTCAGTATCAGTGTTGATGTCTCAAAGCCTTGGTATTTATGGTTTCTCCTTTGTTTGGTTTGGACACAGGCATTCCTCTATCTCCTTTGGAGTCTGCCATTTCCTTGTTTAGGGAATTTAATTAAGTCTGCTCCTAACATGCTACAAACAGCGGGGCTGGGGGTGGGGGGAGGAGGTGTCTGCACTAGGGAGATATGTTAGTTGTGCACAGTTCAGTGAAGCTAAGGGATTTACTGTGTGCATAACTCCATAGAGAATTTGCATGTGCTGTTAGTCCAATCCCAAATTTTGAGCTGTTCTCTCAGCTTTGTGTTTCCTAAGGGATCTAAGGATAAGTAATAGCAAAAACAGAAATCAGACTTCTCCATAAACAAAGAGAAGTATTTTCTTCAGGCTCCTTTTTCCAGCAACGGATGGACCACGCTGTGAGAATGCTAGCAATTACCAGTAGTGGAGAGAGAGCCTTGATTGAACTTTTTTAAAGTGTCAAGTGCTTTGTCTACAGTGTCTTATTTAATATCTACAAAAATCCTAGGAGGGACTTCATATGACCAGGGAGAAAACTGCTGCAGAAGGAAGCCGACCCTTTCCTGGAGACCACACAGGAAGCAACAGGTGGTAAAAGAATTCAGAGACAGAGATGCAGATGATCTTTCTGTCTCATCACCCTTGACCACCGTTTTATCTTCCCCTTTGGTCTTTCATCATTCTGTCCATAAATCTTTTATTTTCAGGACTTTATTGTATAATGGTCACCAGGGAAATCAAAGGATGATAACTTACAAGGCTCTTTCCCTGGAAAAGTTGACCACCCTGTGGGTTATAGATTCACTAATTTCCTTGTGACATTTTTTCTATTTCCTCTCCTTTTTGTCCCTTCTTAATTAATTAATTAATTTTAATTTGTTTAAGCAAAATATTATTCATACCCTAAGCTGGCCTGGAATTTACTATGTATCCCAAATTGGCCTTGAACCGGAAGGCAATCTTCTTTTCTCAGCCTCCCAGGTGCTGGGATTACAGGTTTGCACCACCATGTCTGGTTCCTTACTAACCTGACTGAGCACTTCTGGGGCCAAGGCTTTCGATGCCTTATTTGTGATAGTTTATTATGTCCAGGTTGGTGCCCTTACCACTTTCCATAAATGAGAAAATGGAAACCTGGGGTGAAATAACTTCCCTTAAATGTTCAAGGGGGCACCCACGAGTTCGTTATTTAGGGTAATTTACTCAGGCTGGATGAAAGACAGCCTCGGATTTATCTGACTTAGTAAAATGTCCATACATAGCACTAAACTATAGCAACATGAAGATGCAGAGATAAAGACACTTTAATAGCCTTGGGTAAGATGCGTGTAACTTTACCCAGAGAAGGCTTCTTGAAGAATTCTAGAGCTAAGAAAACTTAAACGTATCAAGTTTCTGTGGTAACTTTGTCCTTTGCACTACATTAGCTGTACACATAATTGGGCAGGCGTTTCCACCAAGTCCAAGCTCCTTGGCTTTCCCCCTGAACATTCTTATGGTGCTAACAATCAAGTCAAAGGCCTTGCACATACCAGAGATGTACTCTATGGCTGATCTACCCACAGCCCTTCTGAAGGATATTCTGATTCAACAGGTCAGAACCAGATTCCAGACATATCTGCATATGTAACAGACTCTCAGTGTAGTTCTTGAGTACCTGACATCACAGAATCTCAAGTGCATAGATAAGCTATAAATTTTTTTCTTTCCAACATTGAAGTTCTTCAGGCTAAATGCATATGCCATAAACCATTCAGCCAGAAATAGGATCAACTATCTTGATCTTCGGAAAGCTAAACCGGGGAGAATTTAGATTTTCAAGGTTGTCTTGTCTCTATAACAATGACTCAACTTAAAGCCATAGACAATGTGTAAATGGGTCAGCTGGTAGTGTTTAAATAACATTTTGTTTGCAAAATTGGTGGTAAACCAGATCTGGCCTGTAGATTATAGTTTGCTGACCTTCAACTATAAAAACCCATGTTACAAAATAAGATTACAAATGCTGAAAACCATATGTCCTCATGAATATTGATGATATATATTAGCATTGTCAAGATTCTAAGGCACAAGAAGTAAAAAAGAAAAAGAAAAACAATTGGTTTACTTTCAAATAAGCTTAATTTTTCAAATTTATTTAATCACACAACTCTATTATGAGATATTAACATTCTTTAGAACTGTAATTACATTCTTTACATTCCAGAGAACATACTTTAGAAACCATCTTTTATGTCTTATATGTAGGCAGCTTTAAAAACTATTTGTATACAGTGCTTCAACTTTGCCCACTAGTGGTGATGTCCATGCCTTAGACAACGAACTCAGATTAAAATGGAAATGCCCTCAGTATAAATTCCTATGTCTAGTTTTCTCATCAGAGGTATTACTGGCTTTGTTTTAATAATTTCTTGTTTTTGTTTGTTTGCTTGCTTGTTTGTTTGTTGTTTGTGATGATTCTTGTTCTGTTTCTGGAGAAATCTCCAATTCCTATGCTCACACGATTGTTCTGCCTCAGTCTGTCAAGTGTCTTATACTACAGGTACACATTTGCATCTGACCAGGGATGGTTTTCAAAGTAAATGATAAAACAGAGGATACTGGGTTACTTTGAAAGGGACAAAAGAAGATATATGGAAAGGAAGGCTAGAAAGTAGGCAAACCAATAATAGACGTATTAAGCACTTGCTGTGCTCACTGCCATAGTAAAAGCTTTGATCTTAGGTTTGCAGTTCTCAACTAGAACATGTTTACTACCTGAGGGACATTCAACAAGGCGTCGTTTCAAATTGCTGTGACTGGATGTGGCACAGAACATGAAGACCCAGTGGCAGAAACCAGCGATGCTGCTGATACCTACAGAACAGAACAGTGCCAGGTATCCCAATTGCCAGTGACAAGAAGTTTGTCTGATTTCTGCCATGCTGTGAAGCTGTACGGTGAAGGTGAAGTACATTTGTACATTTGAGACATTTAAAAAGGAAAACCAAAACAGTTGGGCAATGAGACTTAATCCTGTTGCCTTACGGCATCTTGTAGAGAGTAACAGTGTGAACTTAACTCATAAGAATTCAAGTTCAATTACTCAAGGCAAAGGCAAAGGACTTCGGTGGCCGTACATAGCCTATGACTCCATGAGTTCCTGCCATGGTCTTTTATGTTACTCTTCCCTCCTGCCATTTCCTTGCTTGGCTCCTCATCCCTTTTTGTCTACTGCTGATGCATTAGGCAACTGTCCTAGAATGCTGACCAGCACACAATGTATCTACAATGACCACTAAAATACTCCTTATTAAAACCCTGCATTCCATCTGATGACAGCCTGACCGCTTACAGTGAATTACCTTTGTGACATTAGGCCAGCGATTTTAATCTACAGGTCTTGGTTTCACCTTCTGGAATGGGAACAATGCTTAATTCAGTCAGTTCCACTCAGACATAAGCCATAGGCTCAAGATTGTGCCTGGAGAGTTGGGGGATCCCAGGAATGCAAAACCTCCCATGGAGAATATGTCCGAGGTGACTGGATCTTGTGGGAGGAGACATTTTTTTTTATAAGCCAGCCCAGCTCCAGTTTCTCCAGCAGCTAGAAGAATGCTGCAGAGTGTGGGCTAAAGGGGGTCTGGACAACATCACCAAAGGACAGTCATTAGCTCTGATGTGTGGCCAGGGGATAAAAACAAGCCAGAAGTACAGGAATGGCAGAACATTAGGAAGTGAATAGGTCCTAGATTCCCCTCCAAGACACTGAGGATGACCATGATCAAGATGCCTTAGGGGTACCATCAGGGCCTCGCTTCTCAGAACAACTAATCTGTTAATGAGGAAACATGAAGCCTTTGTGCTTCATTTTTATCATGCCTAAGTTGAACGATCCATTTGAGACAGTTTGTGAATAAAGAGGCTGTTTCTGGAAACATGATGCCCCATGGATTCTCATGAAACTCTGAAAGCAGTACTCAGAAAATAAAAGCAACAGAATGGCCAGAGTCTTTCAAATGGCACTTACTAGCTGCAAGTGTCTAAGTATGGCTGGGAGTCTCGAAGCTCCCAGCCACAAGAGGTTAGGCGGTCCTCGCTGCCTTTCATCTTTTGCTCCTTCTGGTGACATCAGCTCCTTTGTTCTCTTTCCATCTATACCGCTCTGGCAGTTCAATTATTTCACAGAGAGAGGAGAGATGCTCCTGGAATTGGAAATGACAAAAGAGAAGCTACAATCATGGTGAAACCTTCTTTTCAGAATCCCTGAGGCTCTTAGAAATGAGCAATTGCTGAGTACTCTGTGCTTGCTACTCACAAACATCAGGAATTAAAGAGTAAAGAAAGAAATAATGGAAGACTCTGAAGTCACTGAATTCTATTCCCAGCGTTAACAAAGGAACGAGAAATAGTGCCATGTGAGTGTGGGTGGAAGTCAGAAGATACCCAGTAGGTAGGGTGCTAAGTAGGGAACTTTAGGCACATCTGCAGGGAGATTCACAGTGATTGTCCAACTCATGAGTGGCTGAACAAGGTGAGTTTGTTCAGTTATTTCATAGCAAGAGCTATGTCCTATATAATGGATGTATGTGGCAGGTCTTAATTTCTTTGTGCCAGATTTGCCTCTTTGCTTTCCTTAAGTCTGCTTTCTACTGTATTTCTAGAAAGAGGATAGAGTGGAAAGACATACTTGGAATAGAGAGAAAACTTGTCTTATCTTGGCTCCACCCTTGATTAACTGGGTGCTTAGGGACCCATGGGCTCATCTTTCTAGGATTTAATTTTCTTATCTCACCGGCTTCTTGGGAGAAATGATGGAAGAATGCATGCAAGGTACTTAGAATACATAGGGCACTTAAAAGTAGCAACTTATTTTCCAGTCAAATGAAAATGAAATTATTTTGATACCCCAGTGAACTATGTTTATTGGAGATACTTGAGCTGGGGAGATGGTTCATGATTTGTGTGCTTCCTGTATGAGTAAAAGGACCATCGATCAGGCCCCAAAGAACATATTTGCCTATGGGATAGATGTGGTGACCTGTTTGCAATCCAACCTCAAAAGACAGAGACAGGATCCCTAGAGTAAGATGTCTAGCAAGACTAACCTTTCAGCTAGCTGTGGGTTTGACTGAGAGACCTGCCTGTAGTAGGTCACTCTCCTGTTGCTGTGATAAAAGATGGGAGAGTTTGTTTGAGTTTATGGTTTTAGAGGAATAAGAGTTCATGATGGTGGAGCACAGCCATGGCAACAAGCTTGGAGCCTGAGAGCTCATATCCTGAACCTCAACCACAAAATAGAGAAAACTGGAAACAGCATGGGGTTTTTATACTCCAAAAGCTCTTTCCAAAGAGCCACCAAATGGGGACCAAGTATTCAAGCATTTGAGCCTATGGGGGACATTCTCATTCAAACCATCAATACCTTAATAAATAGAATGAGAGAGAAATTAACTAAGAATCCATACATCACCCTGGGTTTCCATAAGTACAGACCCATATAACACAAATGTTCATGAGTGAGCATGCGCGCGCGCACACACACACACACACACACACACACTCACACTCACTCACTCACAGAAGGAGAAAAAAAAGATACCTAACATACCTCCTAAGGAAGGTGAACTTATCTTTGGTGTACCTGGTTGTCAGTAGGAAGCCAAATTGATCATAGTTTTGACTTGTTTCGTGACTCGGGTGGGTGTTCAAAGTAGGAAGTCAAGGTGTAGAAGTGCAAAGCAAGCCACTGGGGTCAACAGTGCACGTACAGGAATCCAGATTTGACTGCAGATAAATGACTTTTAAGAAATTCTTGTAAACGGAGGGTTAATCTCCCACAGGAGCACAGTCAGATCTGGTTCATGTTATCATTTCTGGGTTTCCTAAAACCAGTGACTCAAAACTGGGCTGCCCTTTTAGCCTGGGAACTCTGTAAAGCGGAAACTGGGGGGAATGAGGTCCTTTGTGATTCGTCTCCAAATGAATCACTAGTGATTAGAGCCAAATTCAATTTTGGATTCATTCAGCTAAGTTACCTTGAAAAGTGGAAGCACCCTGCCTTTCCCTTTTCCTCTCTTTGTTCCCCTCCCAGTCAGGGCTCCCTCCCTCCATGACACCCTTCACCTTTCACACAAAGACCTTCAGAATTCTGAAATTTCAGTGGCTCCCCAGGGAAGATGCAGGTGGACCGCCCACTCCAGCATGACCCTCTACTCTTTCCTCACAGGTGCTGGTTGACTATGTTTCCCCTTGGCACAGCTGTGGTAGTCTCTTTTTCCTCTCTTTCAGTAACCTCCGTGAGTCAGGCACTCACCATTGTTCAGGAGAGTTAGCAAACACTTGAGGCATAAGGCTAGTTATTCCTCATTAATGAGTCCCTGGGAATTGCTAGTTAACTGTGCATGGAAAGCCCTACACATCTCCAAGCAGGCATTCCTGATGACTAGAAAACCCAGGCAGAAGATGGAACTAAACAAAGGTATCTGAGAATTACCTGAGAATAGGCTCCTCTGGTCCTCTATGTTACCTCTTGGGGATGTGCTGGGTACAAAGATATCTGAGCAATTCCTTCCTATCATCTTGTTTTCCTTTCGTCCTAAGACAAGACACTTAGTGCTTTGAGGATGGCAAGGATAATTCTGGGGCAGCCTTCTATGGTTTGTCATCTATTCCAGTTCAGTTAACTGTCCCTGAACTTGGACATTTGTGAGATCTATAGGGCTTACTTTGGCCCCATTCTTACTCTCTGAGAACGGCCATACAAGGGGAACAGATTTGAGACTATCAAATTACATCATATCCACCTTCTCTAATGCTGGCTGGCTGATTGCACCCTACCTTCACGGGCTTTACTGTAAAATCAATAGCTAGACTACCATTTTCCCACCCGTTTTCTTCAGGCTCTCCTTTCTTAAGTATAGTTTCATCCTAGCCAATATGCACTGGAAAATTATGGGTAGCTACATGACTACACTATTACACGTACACATTAAAAGACATACAGTAAAATACATCCAAGTAAATATAAAGACCTGTTCACCTGTGTACCTTATACCCGTTATACGTTCATCTTCCCCATGGTGTGTGTTGCCCATGGGAGAGCTCGGCCACACTGTACCTTGTGAAGTTGTGTGTCAGATGTCTCACAGAGTTCTGTGGCAGTAGGTCCATGGAGGAGAGAGAAGGGAGGAAGTGTAGCAGATTTTCCTAAGAGCCTTAAACTGAGAGTCACAACATGAACAGGAGATTGCTAGAGAATCCCAATTGGAAAGATGCTCCAAACAAGAGAAACACAGACTTCTAGCTTTAAAATAGTAGAAGAGGGAGTACAGACACGATACTTAAGCACTCAACATTTCACGAGTGCTTACTTTAAAGTCACATGTCTTTTCAGTTTTCTCTGTAAGGCTGGGACCATGTACTAGGAAACTTGATAAGCAGTCCCTGTCTGGTAGTCTATACGTCTATTCTCTGGTTAGATCTCTCTCTCTCTCTCTCTCTCTCTCTCTCTCTCTCTCTCTCTCTCACACACACACACACACACACACACACACATGGATACAGCACTCACTACTTGTGGGCTCACAGATTCAGCTAATTAAAAAAGAAAGTAACATCTGTACTGAACACATGGGCTCTTTGTTACTGTTGGGCTGTCATTTCCTCTAACTAAAACAGTGTAACTACATCCATTTTTATTATACTGGGTATGAGAAGTAATCTAGAGATGGTTGAAAGTGGGTAGAAAGATGTGCACAGGTTATATGCTTGAGCATCTGCAAACTGTCATATCCATGGGGGTTGCTAGAGAAAATCCCCTGCAGACATAGAAGGAAAAGCGTATGGGCATCAGAGATAAGCATTCAAAGAGAGGGCACACTTAAGGACCAGAATAGCAACACTGATAAGAGTTAGTGTGAGCTCAGACGGGGAGCTCCCATAGAAGCCCCAGACTGTGAAAGGCATCCTGGAAGCTGGAGACCATGAGGGATGAGGTGGAATCTGGAGAGCAGAGTAAACAATACTTCAGGCTGGAGAAACAGATGAGAAGAAACAGAGGAGGCGAGACAGCAGCGCTGGGATGGCAGAACTACAGACTTTGCCTCCATCCCTTGCAGTGAGTCAGATGCAGACGGTGGGAACAGCTTCTAACCTAAAGCACTTCACCCTGTGCTCTGGCTTGCTGCTAGAGTATCTGTAAATTCTGTGAATTCTTATGTCCATCGGGGAGGAGGAGGCTGAGCATCCTACTTTTTTGGCCACAACCTCTAAAATCGCTCAGGAGTTTTTCAGTGTCTTTGGTTTCCTTACCCCAGCCTCCTACTTTGTTTCTCTGGATGTCTGATTTTTTTTTCTCCTTTTATGACAAAATGAATCCAGTTTTCACAATCTGGAGAGAAAACAAAATTTCTCAGAACGATTAGATTAACTTGCCCAAGGACGCTCGGTAAAATCAGGCCTCTCAGTGAGGTCAAGGTTTAACGCCCACCAGAGCTCTTTGCCAAACTCTGCGCTTCCTCACATGGTTTACATGCCCGAGGCTTAGAGTCATGCCTCCCCCAACAGGACCTTATCATCTCAGTTCAGTAAAACACTAGTTGGGTTTTTCTCCCGGTCGCTGACCATGACTTGCATGCACATTTTTTTCCCCTTTGACACTTGGCCCTGTTACCCATGTGCTGTCCTCAAGAGTCACTGGAAAGTGAGCTGGCTGTACAGGCCCTCAGTGCATCCCATGCTTACAGCAGAGTATTTCCTTGCACTAGCGAGATATAAAGCGATGTGCAAAAACAGCATCACCCTTTAAAAACTGAGCCCGCCTGCAAGTCCTCTGCTGCTGCACAATTTATTATGCCAACCGTCTTTGCGTCTCTCTTCATCGTGCAACGGTATGGTGAAGACAATGAGCAAACCTTATCTCCTCATCTCCTCCTATCATTGAGCAATTCATGGCCAGCCTGCTTTCCTCTTAGCCCCTTTCTTCCACAGCCCCTGCGCAGATTGTTTTGTAACAAGTGGTAGACATCATACAATTTTGCCTTTAAACATTTCGGCATTGTTCAGGATTTTAAATAGACTTTGATATATATATAAATAGCCCGGAGCACTTGCCAGGTCATAGA